CTACTCAATAAATATTTTTTTTTACTAATTATGGTTATCATCCATGACTTAATACTTTTGACTTTTTAAAAGTTGATAATCTTGCAACAAAAGATTTAGTAAATCATTTGTTAGAGTTATATGCAACAATGAAGATACAATTAAAAGAAGCTCAAGGACGACAAAAGACTAATGCAGATACCTATCACAAGGAGTAACCACAATTCAACATAGGTGACAAGGTATGGTTATTTCATTGCAATATCAAGACTACTCGTCTTTGTGATAAATTGGACTATAGTAGGCTGAGACCTTTTTTTATTTGTGAACAAATCAATCCTATTTCTTATTGATTATATCTATCAAAGTCTATGAAGATTCACCCTGTATTTCACGTGTCTCTTCTTGAGCCGTATAAGACAGTGAATATTTTGGAAAGAAGATAAATGCCACTTCCTCCTATAGAAGTAAATTATAATCAAGAATTTAAAGTAGAAGAAGTCTTAGACTCAAGGCGGCACCGAAATAAGTTAGAATATCTTGTTCATTAATATAGATATGATGTTAGTGAATGCACATGGGAGGCATCAAAGAATCTTATAAATGCAGCAAAGAAAATTGAAGCTTTTCATCAACAAAATCCATCAAAACTAAGATAAAGAATAAAAAATCTTTGGTATAAAAGAAATAAGATTAAATGAAGATAATATTCTACCTTCTATCTTTCTTTGTAGCTTATGTGTATTTGTGACGCCAAGGAGATGCAGAACCAACAACGAGCAAATTCAACTCAAGAGCTTTCATTTGTAGACTTATCAGATGAGACATTATGATTGTTACAACCTTCAAGACGATAAAATCAAGACGAAGATCCTCAAGAATGACATGTCTTTCCTTGAATAGATGGAAAGATACAACATATTTGGTATCACAACCTTGAAAGAGACTCCCATTGTTTGGTGATTTTATTAGAAGTAGGAACAATTCTTAATGGTGTTTCAAATATTTTATTTGAACAAAGTTATAAAGGCTTCAACAACAACCAAATAACAAGGTGGTCTTCTTATCTTAATATAGGAAACTATCAATGGCTCAAAGTACCTATCAATTATCTTCGAAGAGAGAAAAGATCAGAGTATGTAGCAAATATAATTCACCGCATCTTGGACATCTTCAATATATGAAGACCGCTCCTCGTGGAACTCGTCTCTAGAAAGGGAAGTAATGTCATGGATATATATAATTATCTTAATAATTACTTATATGATTAGATAGAAGTAGGTCAATATAGATTAATTTCATAAAGTCTTTTAGTGTAGCTTTCTAAAAGCTTCATAGATGCAGTTTTGACTTTAGATGTGTTTGTAGGTTGGAAACTTAGCCAATAAGTTAACTACACGTTGATAGCTTGTGGAACAAGTTAACTCTACATAATAGCTTGTCGAACAAGCTAACGATGTGGAGCATACATAGATAACTTGCCTTGAAAGTTAAGTCATGTAGCTAACAAAGTCAACATATTTTGGAGGTCCTATAAGACATCGCCATGTAGTTCTTATTTAAGATTATATATAGAGGCAAGAGTGAAGCCTTCTTCACTCTTGTCAATGCCATTCTAGTCTTTGGTCTTCTTTCAAAACTTTCTAATCTTCTTGTTTTTGGCAATAGCCATTTTAATTAATATTACATTACCTTTTGAGTCACTTTTTAGTTCTCTTTAGTGACACAAGAGTGTATCAAGGATTCTCTTTTTTGAGATTCATGTCACTAATACTTATCCTCTTAACAATGTCACAAGGAAGGTTTAGAATTCAACATCATATATGGTGGCTGAATAAAAATCCTTATCATAAAGATATATATTTGGTCTCTATTATTATTTTTTAATTACTTTTTTTAAAAGTGATTATATAAACTTTTAAGTATAAATTCAAATCATAGAAATAATATGAATTTTTTTCAATCAAGGATGCAAACAAAAAAAGAATATTCCTATAAAGAAAGGCACTTATGAATTCAACTTCAATAAATCTATCAGGGTAATAAAAAAAGATACAACTTTAGATAGAACTTTACTTATTGTAGAAATCCTTGAAATTTTGATCTTATTCCATCAAATTTCTTAGACATTCTTATCCTTGCTTCTATCATATATGGAATAGGAAGACTTTGTGGATTTAATTATGAGCTTTATTTATGTTCTTCTTTTAATTACACAACTTCTTAACATGGACTTTAAACTTTATTATTGACCTCTTTCATAAGTATCAAAATACTACCTCTAAGGTTAATATTAAAAATACATAAAATTTCTACCTTAAGAATATTAAAAAGCTCAAGAAGATTTATAATACTTACAAATCTATTCTTACTTTTGTTGATAGTAGCATCCATAATTTTTTCTTTCATAGACAACTCAAAAAAATCTATAAGTCAAGTTAAAAAAGAGTAATCTAAAACTTTTAATAATCAATTAAAGTTTCTAAAATGAGAGATAGTCTAATTTCTTTAAAAAAAATCAATATTATAAAATTAAAATGTTAGTTTAAAGTTGAATAGTCCACAACCTTCAAAATACAATAATAGAAGTAGTGTAATTCACTCACTTTTAAAACAACACAAGAACAATAAGTTAGTACTCTTATCAAATTATCAAAGATAAATATTTCAAAGAATTAGAAGATCAATACACTCTTGTATTACTTACAAAGACTAGAAAATCATTCAAAGATGGTATAATATTAAACTAGAATTGCTACTACCAAGGACAAGAAGACTAGAAGGTCTTGAAAGAAGACTAAGGACTCGAAAGGCTTTGACAAGAGTGAAAAAGGCTTCACTATTGCATCTATATATACTATCTAACTAGGAACTACATGGCAATATTCTATAGGACTTCCAACACGTGTTCAACTTACAAGATTTGTGTCTAACTTATAAAAAAAGTTTTTTACATGTATGCCACATAGTTAGCTTGTTCCATAAGCTAATTATAAGTACGACATGTGATTAATTTATTATTCAAGTTTCTAACCTATTAATCAACTACAAACACATTTAAAATCAAATATCCATCTATGATGCTTCTAAGAAGTTTTGCCACAAGATTATATCAAATCTACTTACATTTATTTTCTATCTAACATTTCTTATCTAAATAAACATGTATGTCCATGATAGAAAGTTACATACAAAATAATAATAAAAAAATGATATTATTGTGTATATATGAGGATATGTAGCACAAGAGAAATGGAAGGAAAGAGAAAGGAGATGATATGTCTATCTAAGATTTATTTTATTTTATTTTATTTACAATTATAATTCTTTCAAACTTTGAAAGAAATTCTGTTACATTCTAAGATGAAGGTCTATTTTAACTCTTATAAAGACATGATGCATATTACAAATATTATAATTAGTAGAAATGGCTTAAAGATAATTATTCAATGTTATTAAAAATAAAAAATAAAAAAATACTTTTGTAATATAGCACATTGTATAAACTTATTTTATGTTGAAAAAATACATATTATAATACTGTATTAAAAAAACATAACCATTGTATACAAAATATTAAAAACTTACATAAAAATATATACACATTTTAAAACTATTACAACTTTTGAACTTTATTCAATGAAGTTATTTTTGAAACATTATATCTTATTTTATTAAATAAATTCTATTAATCAAATTAATTTAATGATTTTTTAATTTCTAGAAATTAAAATAATTTACCTAGATTTTTATTATTATAAGAAAAATCTACTCTATCTTAGAAGAACATGTTTTCAAATCATCTTAATACCTATAAATTATTTTTTTGTAAAATATATAATAATTTTGATGGAAATTCTAAATATCTTAATAATTTCTACTTTATAGATTTATTTTTTGTCTCAACCAAATCAATACAATTATATATGCTTTTGAAATTTTACGAATTTTTTGTAAGTTCAAAAACACATGTATATAAAATTTGGTATTATCCTATTATATTTTTACTATTTCACCAATATCCTAAATAGTTTTAAAAATATTTCTTTTCATCAATTCTAAATTATTTTTTGAATATTTAAATCTTTAGAATATAATTTTTGGCATTATATAATTACAAATCAAAAATAAAATTGTATAAAATGTACCAACTTGAAATTAAGTTTTTTGTAATTAAGTAATTTTACTACTTTTATTATTTTTCTTTGTGCAAATATTTGTATAGACATGTCAATAAAAAAATTAGCACATGATTTTTTATTGTAGGTAAAAATAGGCACAATGTTCTTATAGTTATTTTAGAAATTAAAATACTTTTATAATACTTAAGCACATGTGTTCTATTTTTTTTACATGATACATGTTTTTATATTTGTACTAGCTATATAAATATGTGTAACCATCTTATATAAGATTGGATATGTAACTGTTAATTGTTTTTAATACTATAGATGGACTAGAAATAAAGTGTATTGGTTGCATTACAATGCCGTATCAATATTTTATTTTATTTTATTTCCAGTCGTAAATTAAAATAAAAAAATGAAAAACTTCCTCCCTTCCTTGTTCAGTTGAAGACATATCGTAAAATTAGCAAATGAGAAGGCAGAGAAAAAAATTAGATGATAGTTGTTACATGTAATAAATTCTTAATTTCAAAAATCAAACACAAGTATCAATATCTAAGTTTATATTGATTTGAGATCTCTCTTTTTGTCGGTGTTGCTGTGTCTTCGAAGTACTGTTCATAGGTGTACGCGTGAGGGAGTAGTTGCATAATGCTTACCCTACCGACAAAGGTGTAATTTTTTTCAGTAATAACTTGCAGCGATGGTTTCTGCTTTTAGACTTTTGAAAGAAAGGATTCACCGCTCTTGTTGGGTTGTGTGAGGGTGGAACGATCCAGTGGAGTTGAGACAGGAGTTCAATGGTGTACAAAGTCAGACACTGCATGTGGGTTTCTATTGTACTCCACTACGGAAAGACCGCTGCAAAAAAAACATAAACAAAGGATTCAGTCGTTTTGTTTAATGACTTCGTAGCTTTATCTGGCATTCACCTCCACCATAGTTTAGGTGTCAATGGCAATTTGTGCCTCAGCATCATAAGTATATTACATTGAGTAGGATCAGGGTTGAAAAAATGCAAATTCCGGAGTCGGGAAGATCCTGCACATGAATGGTTTGAAAATATGTTCCTACAGTTAACTTCGAAGCAGAGACTGGCTCCAGATGCGATCTGCTCATACCGGCTATCTCTCTATCGTCGTTTCGTAGAACAAATCGCTTCGTACTAAAGCTAAACTAAACAACACGGGTACACGAAAGCATTACTCTTGAGACAATGGCTGTCATGTTGCCAACATCGTCATTCTCTCTGCAGCAGCTAACCCAGTTTCGTGTTCATTCTTCTTAAACGCTTTCTACTTGTGAGCGGCTTGTTCATGTAGCGATTGTCCTTGTTGGGACTTGGACTGGAAGTCCAGCTCAGAATTTGAAATCGCTTCACTATTGGTGCGCGTTACTTCCTTCCCCAGTGTAATTCTGTCAATCACGCCCTGCGGATAGTGGCAATTGTGACCCTTAGTCCTTAAGCCTGGAAGCCAGAAACGCAATTTACAAGAGAGAGAGCGAGAGAGAGAGATAGAGCGAGAGAGCGAGAGAAAAGCGCGAAAACCAAACACAGAACATGCAGACAAAAGAGGGGAATGATCAGGACGGTTATTCTACGCTACCTGAATTGCAATGTCGAAGGCGTCTTCAACGTCGGGAATAGAACTTGCTCGTGGATCTGCATAGACGATCCTAGGTATTGTTTGGATGACGGTTTCTCTCATGCTGACGATCTGATTCGACGTGAATTTAAGCAGCACTTCTTCAATGCGAACCGTCTCGTTCTTGATGGAGCCTTCATCAATCAACACAGAGTAGGAAGTGTGGTTGGAAGGAAGATGCCACTGGTACTGGGTGTACGCGGAATACTCGTGGAAAAACACGGGGATGCACCCTGCAAGCATGGCGTCGAAGGTAGAGCGCCGGGTGTAAGAGTCTCCCGCCGGCTGCAGACAGAAAACCGAGTGCTCAAATATCTCCATCACCTTATGCGGTCTTTGACACAGTGTTCCCTTGCAGTCTAGCAACCTGCACTGCTTTGATTTGATACATTGGTCCTTGATCACTCCCCGAATCGAATGACTGAGTCCGGGCCTCGGTGCTCCAACGAACGAGAAAAGGGACGGCCTGTCCATGGCACGTACCCTATCTTGCCATGTCTCAATGGAGCGCTTGGAAGAGGGATGGAAGTATGTAGGATACGGAATACCAACATCGTTCTGATGCCAAGGACTTGCCTCTATACTTAACATGGTCATGTTTAGTGCGGCGGAGAGAACAAAGAGCTTGTTCCCCCAATCAGATTCGTCGTCTGTCCTCCTCCGAAAGTCCCAAGTGATTCGTCCCCCAACCATGAAATGATCTCTTCCATTGTACCTCTTCCACTCGGGCTGCTCGGCGAGCCAGCTATACAACCTTGCTGGAGCAGCGTCCCGCTCACTAATATTAGCCCTCCACAATTTGGTGGAAATTTCAAAACCGGCGTAGAATGGCACAAAAACCGCAGCGGCTCGACTGGAGTCCTTCGTCAAGCACTTGTATCTCTTCAATCTGTTGTGAAAAATCCGTTCCAGCATGAACTGGTTCGTTTCGTACCAGTCTGAGTCAGAGAACACATTATCCGTATTCACCATTGGAGGACCCAGACCTTCGTTGGACACACTTGGACACCAGTTGTTCCAAATGTTAAGTTTGTCGCAATGTTCAACCATATCCTCGTTGAAGTATGGGTCCATCTCATACACGTAGACATACCGACCTTCGCAACCAGGAATGGGTTGCTCCATCGTGGGATCTCCTTCGTCAAAATGGGATTCCACTGACTTGATCTCGAGAGGCGTGTCGTCGTCAACATCTACTTGATCATTCATGATTTCCATGTCCGGTCTTTCGTTGACGTGATGTACATCTCCATCTTTGAGCCATTTTTTCTGAACCATTTTTTCTGTTTCAGAAGAATCACCGGCGCTAGAGTCATAAGTTGAGTCGGTTGAAAGCCCCCTTGAGAGTGACTTCGACATGGAGTCCTGAGTCTGCACGGAAATCATGACGTCTCCAATGGATGACTGCACTGGGGAGGAGCGATAATGGAAGGAGAAATGCACCATCAACAGCGCCCACCAGAAGACGATAGTGAGTAAAATAAAGATACACCGCGAGCGAAACCTGTGAGCCGGATACTTCGCTTTCTCCCCATTCTCTTTGATTCCCAGCCCGTATCCCATCTTAGGGCCAGAGAGTACTCCAAGGAAAGTCATTGCTAAATGCCAATTTCGCACGAATCTGCTATCAGATAAAACTCAGTTCTGTCCGATTGCACCCATAGGTTCTAAACCTCTGCTCTTAAAATCTTGTCCAGCGAATCTCGTCATTCCCTCTCAAATTTCATTGATCCACCGGATATGCAGTGCCATGTGCAACAGCGTCACGACTGAATAACAACCTGAAGCAGGAACAGCACACTCAATTGTATTGAGGAATAACCCAAGCTGTGGACATTAAAGGTGGGAAGAATTGACGTGATATTTAATTCCTTTAGAAAATGACAATTATTTTGCAAACAAAAAACTAAGTCCGCATCTCTCACCAAATCAATGTAAAAGGTGCAGGAAAGTTGTCAGTATTCAGCAGGCTTGAAGGCATGTACATCGATAGCCTCGGCTGCCGGATAGAAACGCGTTATGAAGGTGATAGTTTCATATAGACAGAAGTAGCTACAAGCTCTATTAACGATGTGGGGCTGCACTGTCCAGAGTGCATTCGGTAGACTTGAACGTTACGCCACAGCTGCGGCATTAGACCAAAGAATGCAAGCACGAATCTCAAACTCTTTCTTTTGTGAAACAGAGGGATTACACATTCTCACGGACGATCGGTGAATCCTCAATACGACCGCCGAGCACTGGGAGATCCCGTTTGCAATCCAGCAAAAGCCATCACCGGGTAGCTGCTGTATCCTCAAGTGATAATCTTTGCACAAGGTGGTAGAGAATGGATCAAGCACCGCGGTGGACTAGCAAGTCATTCAATATTGCACTGCAGTGTAGCTTTTTCAAAGCACCAAACCTAGGCTCTTCACGATCTTCAGTATAGCCGTACTCAAAAGTCACACGATTGAGTATTGGCATGAAAATCCAACAGCAGTGCATATACATAACCGCCGGCAGATAACCGCTACGAGGCAAGAAGAAAAATAAGAAAACAAAAAAGTAAAAAAGAAAAAAAAGAGGGAAATGGGGGCAGCACGAGCAATACGGAAGTGTGACCGTCAGTCCAAACAGGATTCATGATAACATTTCACCTGGGTGGGCTCAAATGCAACAACCTTCTACATCACTTACCCACAACATCGCAACGCGCCTCGAATGCCACACAAAACCTCCACCCACCCACCCACCTACCCACCCACCCACCTCACGAGCTGATTGGAGTTGATCTCATGACAGGTCCACAAACTCGCCAGAAAAGGCAGAGTCACGACGGCCGAATATGGGCTGTACCCGCCCCGTCCTCGACGCAACACCGAAATACTCGCAAGCGCCACGAGTCTGCATCCGCCATGCACTCGGAATCTGTCGAGCTGGCCTGGCTCCAAAATTAGGAAAAACTCCGCGTAAAGCTTCCAGAAGCCGCCCTCAGACTAATTCTCATTTCCGAAATTTTTTCTACCAGAGCACTTTCGCAAATTGGCTGCGAATACCGCCTCAAACTGCGCCGAATGCAAATTGATTTTGGATTGTTTCAACGATCAGTTGTGACTGGCGAATGTCATTGAGTGAAGCGAATCGCAGCGTCTGTTGGGGGACCGGCGGCACGAACGGAATCGGTGTTGCTTGAGACACCCCACCAAACCAGGCCAGATTCTCAACAGGGTATCCTTCAGGATATCAATCCGGGTATGTGTCCCAGTTTGTACGCTCACTGAATCCAGCAGGCTTTTTAGGCTCTAAAGTGTACGTGTTTCTACGTGAATAGACTTGAATATGTATAAATATTTTCATGTATATAGACTTATTGCATCTTCAGGATTTGTGTTCATTTAATGATTTCTGATCCAGGTTCATGGTGCTCGTCATAATAGTAGTCCAACCGTTTCAGGAGTTTTCGATAGTGGGAGAATCGTTTAGGGATCAATTGAATGAAGAAGTGGAAATGTTGCATAAATATCGACAACTTGTTCGTTTTTTTAAATGTTAAGTAGTTATTAGTAGGTGTGGTAAATGACATTGTGGGTCCCCTGATAGGTTCCATACTTTCAGAATTTTGAAGTGGAATAGAACTGTGTGAAGTTCTGAGAATGTCATCGATTAGTTGACTAGTGGATTGCATTTTATTTATTTATTTATTTATTTATTTATTTATTTTGCTTTCTACAATGTGGGTTACGTTTCTAGTTTGGTTGATGCATATACTGCATAGAAGTTGTTTTCAGAAATAGGACTCAATGTATGGATTCCAGGGATAGCGGATGCCTTCATGAATAATTGGTTATTCCTCACTGAACAAACTTCTGCTCATAACACCGCATAGGTCGTCACAGGGACTGTGCATCATCCAGAGATGGGTCCCTGGATCCGACCCTTTCTCAGAACGTGGTTGCACCGTGGATGGAAAGCCGACCGGCATGAAGATTCCCACATGGGTCACTCTAAAACAAATCCCAGACGAGTTTCGGGGAGTTGCACAACAAATCGCGGAAGGAATCGGCGAGCTACTGGGGGCGGATTCTGCAAATTCAAAGACAGAAGACCCCCGTTTTTGCCTAGCCCTCAACTCCGGACTAGGGTGGGAGCCCTCAGTCACGGTTTACAACGAACAAACCAAGACTAATATCACTATTCTAATCGACTACAACTATCTACCCATTCGCTGTCGTTACTGCCTTGATACCAAGCACCGGATTCTTGACTTCCCTGCCCGCTTGGTGAACATGAAGCCACGAGGGAACACCATAGAATCGTATCACCATCACACGGGAGGTCGGAACCAACCCGAGAGAAAGAGAAACCAAACACTGCTCAGCACTCGACCCAGGCACGCCGACCTCTGCCCGCAACATCCAACCAGCCGTCGAACGCAGAATTCCAAATCTTTGTTCCCAAACATAAGCGTAAAGGCAGGGGCACCCATCAATGAATTCTAGATGGGACCTGGGCCCTGACATCTCCATCGGAACAGTTGGAAGCTGAGGCTTCGATCCAATACGGAAGTCCCCTACCAATTGTAGCACGGCAGGACTTGAACTCTCTCCCAGTGGAAGTGGGGTCACTTGATGAGGAACCTCCAGTCGACTCAAGTTTCATCCCTTGCACACAGACGACTCCGTGCGCAGGTTTACACCCCCTGCCACCACTTCGGGTGCATGACAATAACCAGAACATCCACGGCCCCCTGGAACCCTGCGCTTACCTACCACGCTTACTTGCATGGGACCGGGTTACTAGCAGGGAGGTTCGAAGTGAGTTTAGATATCATGCAGGAATCCGTAAATGTAGTATCACCCAAATCCTCCAGTTAGCTCATAATATGTTCCAGTTGAGCTATGAGACTAGAAATGGATTGACCATGTTGAATACTGGCATCAAAGAATTTTCGTTTAAGTTCATAAACATTGGCACTATTTTTAAATTCATGCTCTTCTAATAATCTGTCTCAAACTTGTTGCGCAGTTTTGCATCACGTTAGAGGCGCAAGAAACTGTCGCTCAATGGAGGAAATTATTAGAATATAAGCATTATAATCTCTTTCTGTCCATTGCACACTATCTGTTTCCTTCCGCCCTGTGCCATCAATATGAGTAATGTTCTCTTTTGCTTAGAATAGATTCTTGATCTGCCACTTACATTTGTGAAATTCGGAACCATTAAAATGCTGAATTCAGATTAGATCTTTATCGATGGACATTGTGATCAAATTGTAAGAAATAGAAAATGAGTAGGAATTTGAAAAATATAATGCGTCTAAAACAAGTGGTTCAAGAAAATCAAGAAAATGTTTGAGAGATAAAGAATTTTGCGTGGAAAAATAAGCAGCGTGAATTTGAAAAACTTGAAAAACTTGAAAAATATACTGGATAGTGGAGTAGCCGCTCAATTGCTCTAATGGTTTGATCGATCGCTCTTTAAAAACAAATCATTTTGATATAATTTCTGAGGCAATCAATTGCTCAAAAACCAAACAAAATAAAAAAACTAAATTTGATGTAAAGGGCTGAATTAATCAAGACCTAACACTCTGATCTAGCACTCTGAAAACAAATTTACAGAACGACGAAGTGTGGGCTCATAACCTCTTGTTTCACAAAATACTACACCAAGAATATCAAGAAAAACAATGATACTTTATTACAAATAAAATCTTATATATCGATGAGAAGTTTTTATTTTTCACTAGTAACACACTAATTACTAAAGTGATGCTGCCTCTTCTCAGGTCGAGAACGTATCATGGCCTCTCCAGGGTGGTGAGCAATGTGCGGTCTGTACACATGAGAACTGGAGATTGCGCCTCTGGCGAGTTTATGGACCTGTTATGAGATCGGCTCCGATCAGCTCGTTAGGTGGATGGGTGGGTGGAGGTGTTGTGTGGCATTGAGGCACGTTACAATGTTGTAGGTAAGTGATGTAGAAGATTGTTGCATTTGAGCCCATCCAGGTGAAATGTTATCATGAATCCTGTTTGGACTGACGGTCACACTTCCGTTTTACTCATGCTGCCTCCATTTTTTTAATTTTTTCTTTTTTTCTTTTTTTGCCTCGTAGCCGTTATCTGTTGGATTTTCATGCCAATGCTCGATCGTGTGACTTTTGAGTACAGCTATACTGAAGATTGTAGTGAGTCTAGGTTTGGTGCTTTGGACGGGTCTTTTAAACAGCTACTTTGAAGTGCATTATAGAATGACTTGCTAGTCTACCCAGGTGCTTGATCCATTCTCTACCACCTTGTGCAAAGATTATCACTTGAGGGATAATCACTTGAGCTACTTAGGGATGGCTTTTGCTGCATTACAAATGGGACCTTCCCAATGTTCGGTGGTCGCATTGATGATTCCTCAATTGTGCTTGAGAATGTGTCTTGCCTCTATTTCACAAAAGTATGAACTTGAGATTTATACTTGTATTTTTTTGATCTAAAGTTGAACTTGTGGTCTAAGGTTCAAATCTACCAAATGCACTTTGGATAGTACAATTCCACATCAGTAGTAGGGTTTGTAGCTACTTTTGTCTATATGAAGCTATCACCTTCATAATATATATCTATCCAATAGCTTCTTGAAGAAAATGAACCTTGAAGTCATCAATACATAATATCAACAAGGTTACTTACAAAGAGAGTATGGAGTAAGATGTCTTTTACTTCCAACATCCATTACTTATAGGTGGTGGCTATTGTCTTAATGGATAACTTCTATCATTTGATGAATACATCCATTTAACATTCTATTGAAACTATCCATAACTATCTTATCTATTATAAAAATATTTTTTTAGTATATTCTTTATATCCTTGAGATACTTTGTCCGTTCATCTACTTTATTTCTTGGCCTTCTCATGTACTAAAAACCTACCTTTTGACCAATAATAACTTACCTAAAATAATATCCTCTATAATGTAACTTATTCTACTTTTATTTTCACTTACTTACTTTAATACTCTTTCTTTGCTATTAATAAAAAGCTTTCAATTCTAATGCATTTGTTAATAAATTAACAAGTATATCTTCTATTGTATAATATTTTATATCAATCACTATTATTTCAATCTTCTCTCTTATAGAGTGATGTTGAATGTTAATTTGCTTGGTCTTTGAATGATGCTTTGAATTCTTTACAAATACAAGGCATCCTTCATTATCATATTTTATTCAAGCTACTATATTTATACTATTTTAATATCTTCTAAAAATTATTTTAGCCATATTACTTCTATTGTATCATAGCTTGCTGCCATTTACTCGGTTTCCATTATTAATCTTATAATTATTAATTGCCTCTTATAATTCCTTAAAATAGCTTTGATTTCACAAAAAAAAAAAAAAAAAAAAAAAAAAATCTTATTGTTGACATTCTATCATTTGTATTTTCAGCCCAATCTGTATCACAATAACCATGCAAAGTAATGTTATAACCTCCAATGAATAATTTGAAATGCAAAGTGCCTTTTAAGTACTTCATGATCTTTTGATGGTTGTTCAATAGATTGGTCTAGTCTTTAATATATGTTGGCTCACAACACTCACCGCATATGCAAGATCCACTCTTGTGCCAACCATTGTATACGTAAATAAACTTATTACTACTTTGTATGGAATACCTTGCATTTGACCTTAAACTTCAGCAAATACTTTATCTGTGAGCTTCATCAACTTCAAATTGGCATCCATAT